ATGGGCTGTTTTAATTAACAACCCTTAATCTCCAGTGCTGCAGCATTAGAAGTTACTGGATGGCTCCAACGTTAACAGGAGGAAATTCCTTCTTTTCATCCCGTACAGAAGTGTTGCGCAGAAGTGCTGCTCTGTCTCTTCCCCCGGCAGCCTTGCACATCCTTCCACCTCCATCCTCTCTTAGCTGAGTCAGCACCAACACAAGGCTTGTGCTGATGTGGCTGTTCTGCTCTGGAGTGGGAGGGAGCTGGGTAGGGGCAAGCATCATGCAATTGTGTTAGATGTGCCTCATTTGTCTATTCTTCTCACTCCTATTCTCTCTCCCTTCCAGCAACATTTTGAAGGATCTCATTACTTCACCTTTCCTCAGTGACTGAGGTCTTATAGGGAACAGGGGAAACAATCCCTGTCAACACAATTTCAGATTGTTTTTCAAAGGGGTGGCTCTAAGAACAGTGACTGGGATGTGCTTCTTGTTCAGTATTTTGCACACCTAAAAAATACTCCTACAAAATACTCATCCACATAAGGTAGGTCACAAAAAGGCTCAGCATATTTTCTGAGAACGTGGTTGAATTTTAATTGTATGAACTAAATGTCAGACAGGAAATTTTGATATAGAATTCTAATTCAATAGATATGATGGACTGTAGTTTCTAAGTATGTGAACTTCAATCAAAAGACCGATTAAAAATTTATGGTTGCTATAGTACCTTTTCCATGAGTCATGATCTTGTTAAAAATGCCAAAAATAGCTGTAGAACCTAATCTTCTTGGAAGAAACTCTGCACTTTTCTCTTCTTCAAAAAGACTCTCCAGTAAGAGTCTGGTTTTCTTTTGGTCTGATTTTCCCTTCTTTTCAAATATGTTTCACAAAAAAATTCCTGCTCTTCCAGGCATGTTTTATAATATACACCATATATGCAATGACTGGCCATAAATTAGATTTTTTTAATCTTTACCTATGATCTTTAGTATGTTTAGCGGACTCCTGAGTACTGGCTAGTTCTGAGGCACCTTACTTGAACTTTCATTGACATTGAAAGTTAAGGCTACCTAGAAAACTCAGAAAAAAGTGAGCTGCAGTGGTAAATAGGACCACTGGGGGATGCTAGTGCTTAAGGGTTAAAGTCTGGATTCAGCGCCAGTAGGCAAGGTGGTTGTGGGAGGTCCCCTGGGGACTTGAGCGTGGCTGGTAGATTTCTGAACCTACTGATAGTAGTAATTCAGTGACCAAAGTTCATTGTCTTAATCATAAAACATCAGTAGTAAACATAAATCTTACCTCTGGGATCACCGGAGAGGGATACAAAAATGTGAAGGTGGAGAAAGCAATTCAAAGAAAGAAACAAAGAAAGAACAGAAAGAATAAAATATACCTTGCTGTCTTTTCTGGGGTTTTAGAAAATGGCCAAGGGCCTTTGTCTCTACTATTTAGAGCAAATTGTGTGTAAAGAAGAGAAACAAAAATCTTTCCCAAAAGAACTATAAAACATTTAAAAAAAACCACAGCTGATGAGAAAATCTGAATGAACTATAAAACATTTAAAAAAAAACCACAGCTGATGAGAAAATCTGAATAGCTGGGGTATCCTTTCTTTCCATTGTCTAAAAAAAAAACCAAAACCCAAAAAACAACCAAAGTGTGAATTAAGATTTGGGAATTGATTTTTAGTTCATGAATGGTTCCATTGGTTTGCCATCTAGAGATACTAGAGATAGTAAGATGGTACTCCAAGTAAATGTCAGAGGTTTGTGACAGGAAGAATGAGGTACATTTGCTAAAAGGGTAGTTGGTCTGTGCAAATGTGTGAAGCTGGGGGCATCGCAGTTCACTGTGATGAAACCT